CTAGAAGAAAACAGCACAGTGACTTTGTAAGACATTAAATTTTCCTCTAAAATATAAAATTATTAACAAGTTGATAGATTAAATTTTATTAAAATGAAAAAGTTTTGCTTTTTGAATGTCATTTTAAGGAAATGGAGAGGAATGAAAGTGAGAAATATATATAAATCACATATCTGATAAGGGATGTCATCCATCCATATAGTCCAAATTTGACAAGGAAGTGAATTCCAAAAATGATTAATTTCCATAGAAGTGATTTCAGAAGATTCGTTTATATAAATAATTTATAATCCAATCTATTTAATTTGCAGTTAATAAAAATCCTTAAAAATACCATACAATCTCATGTCATTTGAGAAATCAAAACTTGTTTCCCTCAATATGAGACTAAGTTCAGGGAGGAACAGGAAGAAAGTATTAAACAGAAAGAAAAGGAAACTTTTTTTCAGAAAAAAGTTTTAAGAATTTATAAAATTTGAATACTCCCATAGTAAATAGAAATACTCTCAGTTATAAGACCTAGAGAAATGAAGTCTAAAATTCAAATGGAATCAGAAAAGTCTCAGAATAGTAAAAAACAGTCCTGGGTAACAAAAGCAAAGTAGGAGGTTACATTATAAAGCTGCAGAGATCAAAACAGCATGATATTAGCAGAAAAATAGACATAGGGAGCAACAGAATAGAATAGAGGATCCAGAAATAACTGTAGGCACATTCAAAAATTTCATCTTTGGCTAAAGTTCCAAAACCATGCACTGGAGGAAAGATAGCATTGTTATAAATGGTATTGGGAAAAGTGGCTATCTACATTTATATGCAATGGAGTAATATTCCAACATAAAGAGGAGTAAACTTGAGTCATTTGTAAAAAACAGATGCACCTTGAGACCATAATCTGAAGCAGAGCAGATCGTACACAGAGGTTAAATATCTCACGGTTTCTCTTATGTGAAAAACCCAAAATATAAAGAGCAACATGAAAGATAGATACTAGGAAATAGGAAGATCGATATTTTGCAAAATGGACCAAAAAATGTTGGGGGATTAAAAAAGAATTAAGTTTATCTTTTCTTAAAGCTGGGTAATGCTCTATTGTATAAAAATGCCACATCATTTTTATTCATTTCTCCATTCATGTGCACTTGGGTTGTTTCCAAGATTTACCTATGAAAAATTGTGCTGCTATAAACATGATTGCACATATATCACTGTGGTGTGAGGTTTTCAGTTCTTATGGAAAAATACCTAGAAGGGGAATAACTGGGTGAAGTGTGACCTCTGTTCCTATTTGTGAGGAATCCTCACACTGATTTTCACAGTGGTTTCACCAGTCTACACTCCCACCAGCAGTGGAGAAGGGGTCCCTTTTTCCCCATCACCCCTTCAACATTTGTTGTTGGTTGATTTGATGATAGTCATTCTTTCATGGGTCAGATGCCATCTTAGTGTTGTTTTAATTGGAATTTCTTGAATGACCAACAATATTGAACTTTTTTTCATATATTTGTTAGACATTTGTATTTCCTCATCTGAGATTAATCTCAGATACTCATTTTTGGATTGGTTCTCTGAATTTTGGAGGTCTGATATTTTTTAATGCTTCATATGCATGTTATAGTTGATACATTGCGTCAACTTGGGGAGTGTAGAGGTTTGGCTAAGTGACTCAGCAGGGAGCCAGGGCGCTTACTTTGTGTTCATTCTGTGCCTGTGCAAGAGGAAGGCATGCAGAGAGTGGGGGTGTAGAAGACCACCCCTATGCACCCAGGGCTAGTAGGCTGCATGAAGAAAAAACATTTAGAAAAGACTGGCTGCTGGTTCTTGGAGGAGCTCCAGCCTTTGCCTTCAGCTTGGTGGTTGTCTTCTGGCTTCTCGTGCAGACTGTTTGGCATCTGCCTGGGACTCTTCAGCCTTCTGGTATAGGCTCTCCAGCCTTCCTCATAAATACTTCAGCATTCCATCGCAGACTTGTCAGCTTCCTGATAGGGACTTGCATGGACACTGCAGTAAACTCCAGGCCTGGGGAGGGCTCTTCAGTCTCCATCATGCAGACACCCTCTGTATGCTTCTTCATCTAACTCTGTGGCTGACCATTGTAAACCAAACTTATAATTTCTTATACATTTATACATATTGTGTTATATCTGTTTCTCTAGTAAACCCTGACTGATGCAATGCAATGTAAGAAGTTGTATCTGGCTTGGTGGCACATGCCTGTAATCCCACCACTCAGGAGGCTGAGGCAGGAGGATTGTTGCAAGTTAGAAACCAGCCTGGGCTACAAAGTGAGCTCAAGGCCAGCCTGGACTGCCTAGCCAGACCCTGTCTCAAGAAAGACCAAAAGGGGGCGGGCTGGGGATTTAGCTCAATGGCAAAAGCGCCTGCCTGGCAAGCGCAAGGTCATGAGTTCGGTTCCCGGTACCGGAGAAAAACCAAAAAAAAAAAAAAGAAAGACCAAAAGGGGAAAAAAAAAAAAGAACCGTTTTTGAATTCCTACCAGCTTGTTTAGTGAAGCTCTGTACCTTTTCTAACTTTTTTATTATTAATTTTTATTCTTTTTAATTGTTTGAGCAATCGTGCGTTCTTACATCTGGTAATCTGAGCAACTTCATTGAAGATAACCATATGTAATATAGCAACCATTAATTCCTATCATTTTGTCTTGAAATTTTTTATCGTTGTTATTGTTTTTCTGTTGTTTTGTTTTTATCTTTGTTGTCGTTATTTTGTTAATATTTTTTTCTCTTTAAAGGTAAAAAAAGAATGAAGATGTGCTACAAACATGTAACAACTTCCATTAATCTACAGACTCCTACTAGGTGGCTGTTATTTTCAAAAGTTACAATCAATTATTTTTTTAAGAGGTTAGTAGTTCTAGCACAGACATTTGGTTACATAAACACTAAGGAAGAAAGAAGGCACAACTAGGTTTAAAGGCTAGCAAAGCGCATCAATGGCAGACACTTATTGAGTATTTCTACATTATAGGATGTGTAAACACTTACAATTTAAGACATAAATGGTTTTTAACTAGCTGACAAATTAGAGAAAAATTTAACACTAACAACTGAAAATAGAGCCATCACTGATGTGAAGTCACAAGACTATCTTCATTTTACTTTATAGAATTTTTTTTACAAATTATTGTACTTCCAACATCATATACATATACAAATTCTCACAATAGTCGTTGATTTTATGATTACCATTGTCATTGTGAAAGACCATATATATGTATATATGATTTCAAACCAAAAAAGTAATAGAAGTTTGTTCCCATTTCAGCATTGAAAAGAAAGTGCACCTACTTTAAAGTTCTCTTCTGTCTTTACCACATTCACATACAGAGGACATTAAAACTAAACAGGCACATGTAATTTAAATTAAAATACTTAAATTGTCTTGCATATGAACATGTTAGTAAATATACGTTGATAGTAGGAAAACTAGATTACTTTCTTCATTTTATTTAAAGAATCTTACTTAACATAATGCTAATATTTAAAAGTAACTACAGGGGCTGGGGATTTAGCTCAGCTGCAAAAGCGCTTGCCTGGCAAGCGCAAGGTCGTGAGTTCGGTTCCTGGTACCAGAGAAAAACCAAAAAAAAAAAAAAAAAAAAAAAAAAACTGAAAGTAACTACAGATATGAAAAAAGGGTTCCAGATGAAATAAATTATGACAAATAGAATGCATCTTTTAAAAGTGATTTTAATAATGTAAAACATGTAATTTAAAACTAATTTTTAAAACACAAATACCTAGTGACTTATATTGCAGTTAACCTAAAACTAACAAAAATTTGATGAGTATGAGTTTATCAACTATTGATTAAAATTTTTTTAAGTTTTTTTATTGTTTTGGTTTTTCTCCAGTACCGGGAACCGAACTCACGACCTTGCGCTTGCCAGGCAGGTGCTTTGCAGCTGAGCTAAATCCCCAGCCCCTTGATTAAAATTTATAGACTTTCTGTATTGTAAAAGTAAACATGTTCACTAATATTGAATCACTAATAAATTGAATATGTATAAGAAAGTATTTAGTACAGCAAATAATATTTTGAATATTATCTACTTAATACACTTTATATACTGTGTGTGAATTTACCATGTTTGAAGAATGGCAGTAAATACATTTAACATTTCTTTTGCTTTATTAACCAATGAAATTTTAAGAAAAATTCGATTTTAGGTGTTTTGTTAGTCATACATTTAACCAATAATTTATTCCTCAACTATTTTCTCTTTCCTATTGTCTTCTCCGTATTGCTCAACATCATCCATCTAATATATCCCTTTGTGTTGTAAATATATGTACATTTTCCTTATGAAAAAATTTTAAGACTTTTTTCAGTTTCTGAATTTTAAATGGTACATATAGAGTTCAAATTCTGAGACAGTGTGATGTACTATTAATAACTAAGACACATACCTTTCCTGTTTACTTACACTGTATATCATCATTTCTTTAGTAACACTATGTCACAGTTAGAACATAACTAACACAATATTCCCTCTATATTTTAAATATAGTAGTTTAGTGATTATTATTTAAAAAGATATTTTGATACTTTTAGAAAAACCAGATTTCCAAATTTAATTTTTAATCTGTTTTACTTGTATTTCAATTTAAACAAGAGAAGAAATGGACAGGAAAAACACCATCACAGAGAGATTTGAATCTCTGACTAATCTGGAGCCAGATAGATTGCTAATTTTTTCAGAACCTGGCTTTGCTAATACTGGTCTAATTATTTAAGTGCTCAGTGAGTCAGTCTTATCATCCCCAGAGAAATATCATAATCACATCTATCTAGTGACATCATAACAGGAAAGTGAAATAATATAATTAGAGCTCTTAGATGGCAACCCAGCAAAGAGTTTGTTCATCAGAAGTTTTCATTATGGTGGCAGACTCCACATTGTGCAATACCATTTTTCCTATATGGTGTGAAAATAAATAAATAGTTTTCTGCAAAACTAACTTCTTTGAAGTACTTACTTTATTAAATTGTTCATGGCATCCGGGTCATATGCTGTGACTTGTCCTATGATACTGCCCTCCTTTACATCTTCGTCAACTTCTATCAAGTAAGAGAGTTTGCTGAACACGGGAGGCTCATCTACGTCTTCCACAGAGATCTTGACCACCGCTGTGTCTTTGAAAGGTCCCAGGTGTAAGAATCGTGGGTCAGGATGAGTGTTGCTTGCATCCACTCTTAAAGTGTACAGCATTTTTTTCTCAAAATCTAAATTCTGAAGTTCAGTAAAACAAGAAAAATTCAGCATGATTTGGAAGGCAAGACAATAGGTGAGAATTTCAAAATTTAATAACCTGATTTCTACTGATGGCAAACATTATGCTTCCTTGATTATTGCTTCCGATGTACATCAAATAAATGGATACGTCTTTGCTTTGCCTTACTTATATTTATGGGAGTTAAATAAATATAATAGAATAGATACTGTTACTGATTCCCACTGGGTCATGTAGTTCAATTTTGTCAGTCACGGCTTAAAGAAGCATTATTTTGTAGATGTGCAAATTATGTTCACTATTGTGAAACTTACATATATTTAATATCAGAAGAAAGACTGAGTAGTGTTTAAGGTTAGAATAAAAATTGTTTTTTCAGTAATTTGAACACTTACAGAATGCAAGATATGAGTGAAAAAATTAAACATATAATAATTAATATTGACTTTATTATTCCATGTAAAGTTTCAGAATACTCTTCCATGGTACATTAAAAAATCAAGTAAACCTAAATGAAGTCCATGGAACTGCTAGGTTTCCGTTTATTTAGGTAAACCATCACATTTGCATTAAAATATTTTGGAAAATGAAAGTGATAACAGCCTCTAGTTTATATTAATTCTTTCACATAGAGAAATCCAAAAATGAGCACAGTTGAATTTAATTCTGGTCTGATTGTTGTTTAATCAGAATCGTTGAACTTTTATAGCAATTTATAATTACCAGTGATGAAGATACTTCCCTTATTTGAAGTAGTATTACTTCTATTCTCGCTTTTGTGAGAGATAGACCACATAAATAAAAGGGAAAATTAAAGCTTTTGTTCTCTTTACTGAAAGGCAAGCAGAAACTATGCAGCCTCAGTAAAAGAGTGAAGACAGTCCAAAGGAACCTTTTTGACAGTTATGATCCCTTCCTGTGTGTCCTTGTCGGTGACGACTTCGAATGTGTCCGCTCCATCTCCTTCTGCAATGCTGTATTCCATCTCCGCGTTCGTCCCCATGTCAGGGTCACTGGCTTTTATCCTTCCAAGGTGGGTTCCAGGAGGAACAGACTCAGGAGAATTAAAGTGATAAGTGCCTACAAATTAAATCAGAGCTTCTTTGATGTGCCATGTTTGGAGGACTCTAAAGAATTTTCTCTATATTTTTAACTTTAATTTAATCTGGGATAGATTTTCATCATCTTGTCATGTAAGCTCTTAAAATTATATGCTTGTTCTGGCGAGAAAATACTGTTTCAAGGCAGAAAAAGCTCAACTATGTCCCAAGATTATTTGGAGAACACATGGAAGGCCTGATAGTAGAATATGGAACTTTTTTTTTCTTTTCCTTTTTGTATCTGGAATCAAATTCAGGACCTTCCCCTGCCAGGCAGTTACTGTGCCACTGAGCTATAACCCCTGCCCTAGAATATGGAGCTTTTGACTTAAAATGACCTGAAAAATATATTTGCTGATTGTGTGTGGCTTTCAAAAATGTCATCACAGATTTTTACATGTATTCAACTATTATAAAAGTCATTTCTTATTTTATTCTACATTAGGGATATAAAAATGATATTACAAATAACTGTGACCCTTTTGGTTGTTTGCTTTGTTTTAATGTTCACATCTTTAAATAAGAGATGGCTTTTTCTACTTCCTACAGATCTATAAAATTATTGTATTGCATTCTAAGTATTCTTCAAAGCATTTAGATTTTACTATCAGGAGACAATAGGGACATCTGAAAATACTGAAGTCAGAAATATTTTTAAACATTTATTGTGTGCTGAACTCTATGTAAGATCAAAGTCCCTCCATAGTAATTTAATTAGTACTCATCCTGCTCCTCTAAGCCCAACACAGGTCAATTATCTTCAGGTCCAGGCTTATGGAAATCATCTAGCAGACTTGGGAAAATATCTGTTTGACTTCAAAGTCTCTTCTCTTTCTGGTTTGTTCCAATGTTAAGAAAATGAGTTTTGAAGTCCAACTGTACTAGTTTGAATTCTCACCAGCAGACAAGTCAGTTAAATTCTACAAACTTTGATGTCAGTGACTCCATCTGCATAGTTAAGTAGATACTAATAGCGCCTAACACATAGATTTGTTATGAGGATTAAGTGAGATTAGGTTTGTAATTTTTCATATTTCAAGATCTAGTCCTCAGCATTTTATTATTACTACAATAGTCTCAAACCTGTTTTCTGAAGATACTGAGATATCACATAGTAGTGATTTCAGAGAGATTAAAACATAAATTCTGTATTTATAAAATCAGTAAGGTTTACAGTATTTATATGATGTGTAAACAAGAGATCTAAGGCAAGGCAAGTGACAGACTTAGGTTTGACTTCTAGCACCCAGAATGAAGAGCTCACATTCTGAAGCGAGGAGGTCAGAGGGAAAAGAAGATGGTCATAATGAATGTTGGCGAGTTAGTCTGGAAAACTTTCTAACTCTACAAAAGCTATAAAAGGTTACTTAAAATTCCAGAAAAAGTCCATGTCCTTGTTTGCACTTACTGTACACTCATACAAATGATCACCTTTTCAATTCAGATAATTTTTTTTTTTTGAGAGAGGTGCTGTCAATTTATTTATGCCAAAACAAGTAGTAAAACTAGTAACACAAATATGTTCTGTCAGCTGTACTTGAGAGAAACTTTTCAACATGAGATCAAGGAAACCACTCTTACTCTGCGGAAACCGAGGAGGATTGTTGTTGACGTCTGTCAGGGTGATGTTCACAGTGGTGGTCCCGGACAGGCCGCCCATCTGGCCACCCATGTCTTTGGCTTGTATAACCACTTGATACTGCTCTCGGTTTTCTCTGCTCATGTCTGGTAATGCGGTTTTTATTACACCTTTTGTAAAAATAAAAGTAGACAGTTCAGTCACTGACTTATAAAATAATCTATGTAAGGTCCACTTTACAGAAGTTAGTAATAACAAATGGAAAAAAAAGTTATGCTGAAATAGTCCTTCATTGCACAAACAATTGAACACAATTCACAAAATAATGAAATCTAGCATGAATATTCTTTACTGAGTAAGCTTTGGTAACTCTAATTATTCTTTTGACTTAAAAGTGAACTTTGTTGAAAAGTTTAAGAACTAAGCTTAACTATTGATTGTCACATTCTTTAGATTTTGAGCATTTTTATGCTGCATAATATGCTGAATCTTTGTTAAATTTTCTACTTAAGGTGCCAAATTTAAACTCAGTAAATAATAGTTTAAAGACCTAATGATCCAAATGATTTGTTTCAGTCATAGGAAGTTTGTTGTTGTTTCTGTGTAATAACTACAGGAAAGAAATGCAAACATAATACTGAATGGATTGGTTTTAGACATATTTGAAAACCTCTGAAATAAGCATGCATGTAGATGTATTATATAACGAGATGCAGACCAAATAATAAATGTTTTTACCAGATTCTGGGTCCACTGAAAAATATGGCTGTCCTTGTAATATGCTGTAGACCACTTTGGCACTGTTTCCATAGTTGGCATCATCTGCATCTGTTGCAGTCACTTGAATGACCGAAGTACCTGCATAAAGCCATCCCCCAAATATAGTTCTGTGAATACTTCAAACTTTGAAACATTTTTCTTGAAAAATTACTATAAACAGTGTTTGTTAGAAAAATAGCCTTTTTCCTTCATTGTTTCTTAAATTTAAACAGTTTTATTATTGTTATCTAAGATAATGTAGAGTCAAAATATATTTTATCACAAAGATGGGTATAAGGAGGCCAATGAAATAATTTATTAATTTAGTATAAACATTGCAAGGGATAAATTTTTTAAGAACTAGAAAGAATGTGAAATTTCAATTAATACATTTCCTGATAAGTGAAAATATAAATATGAATCCAAAATTTCTAATCTTCTGATGCTCTTTACTCTGGTAAATTAACAACTTATCTTAGATACACTGAAAATTAAAGAGATTTCCTTATTATATTATTATGGAAATGTCCTAAAGCTTAGGGTAGAACTCAAGCTCTTGACATAAGAAGTCCTGGGTTCAGTAACAAAGTAAAAGTGGGAGTGGGAAACAGAGGGGGGAGAAAGACTACTGAACTATAAAAGTTTTATTTTCTATTTGTGTACACAAGATATACATTGTTATGAAGTGTGCTTCTTTTTAAAAGCTAGAGAATATAGATATGATTACACCTATTGATATACAACATGTGTAGTGAATATAATTATACACATGTATATACCACTGTGGCTCAGGTGTAAAATATCCCTTAATAGTATCATATATTCAGAAGTGGGCGTTTTGGAAGGTAATTGGACATACAGAAATATGCTTATCAGTGGATCAGTCCAATGATAGCATTAATGTGCTGTCAGGAGGTACGCCTGTTTGAAAGGGGTGGGTCATGTTACACTGTGCTTTCAAGTTATATCTTGTTATTCGCTTTCTCCTTTCCCTCTCTACATCCTATCTGCTATGAGGTGAGCAATGTTCTCCTTTAAATTACTGGGTTAGGTAATTTTCTCCCAGTGTCAGGAAAGCTGATTAATACTGAAAATTCATTCCAGAAATAAGACGATTGTGACTCTACCTGACTATATGTTTTAGAAGACTTTTCAACTAGTTTCTTTGGAAAATAAGATTTGGAGATGTTGGCAAGAGAACTTTAAGAACACTGTGAACAAATCTTGGTAGATTTGCCTGACCAGAGTTTACAAAGACAAAATACACATAGAAAAGCAGATAGTAAAAGCCAGGGTTAGGAGGTTTCAGTGGGAACAAGGACATTACTGGCAGTTGAACTTGAACTATGTGTGTTATGCTCTGGTAGAAAATTTGTCTATATTTTGCCCATGTCCTCAGACTTTTCAGGAGACTAAAAGCAGTGAACTAATTAATCTGGCACAGGAAAGTTCAAGACAGCCCAATATTCAGGCTATGGTATATTTATTGCTGAGTGTTTTTTTAAGCAAGATTTATGGAGAAGGTAGGGCAAAATTATGAGTAGAAAATTTTTTTAAAAAACAAAACTTAACCCATATGATAACGAAAAACTTGAAGCCAAATAAGGTGTGGCTGCTAAAGAGATTATTTAACATTAAAAGAAGCTAATTACTTTGCATTAGGTCAACCAGAAAAATGCCTTGAAAGAATCTCAGGAAATGATCGGACTTCTCTCTTCACAAACTCAAGGATATAAAAGGATAAACTCTTTTGAAATACTCTTCTTTGAAAAGGAAGCCTCTGGTTACACTGCTCATTATGGGACACGTGGGGAAGTGTTTCCCTGAATTCAGCCACAGAGGCACTCAAAAATCTCTGAGCTGAAGTCCAAGGGAGCCAATCTACTGCTCAGGTTTGTGGAAGACATTGGCATTGTACACATGGTGCTAGTTTTGCACATATGCAGAATGCAAACACTGTATGGTCGTAGTGTCTTCCACCTATATTTTGGAGGAAGGCCAGGAGACTAAGAAATATGCTGCTAATATTGCCATATATTACACTGTGAGACTGAAACAAAAAGAGCATTGGAGACCTCAGAAGTTGTAGATGCAAAGAACTAAATTGTGCTAAATAGAGCCCCGACAAATGAGGGAAGCCAGCCCAAGAAAGAGGCCAATGGGGTGGGGCTGCCCAAGCCCTTTGGAGTTTCATCTAGTTAAAACCTGCCCTGTGTGCTGCACATAGAACTATAGGATTTAATAGTTACCCTGCTTGTTTATGCTCTTACTTTATTCTGATTCTTTTCTATTTCCTAATCCTCTTTTTAAATACAAATGTTTACCCTGTGACATTGGTATGTAGCAAGTATTTATCTGTCTTTTTTTTTATATTTGTGGGAACTTACAGCTAAGAGTTGTTCTTAAATTTCAAAGAAGACTGGATTTGGACATTTCAGAAATACTGGTATTGTTAAGGTTTGGCAATGTTTAGAAATAGATCAAGTGCATTTGGTAGTATGATGTAGATGTGAGTGTTTTGGAGGCCAGGGGCACAATGTTGTGATTTATATTTAAAATATTGCCCACAGTCTCCCATCTTCAGAGGTGAGGCTTTTCAAAGTTTATTGAAATCTAGGGCCCTTGGTGGATTAACCCATTTATGAATTCATAGCTAAATGTGATGTTGAGGGAAGCTGGTTGGAAGAGGTATTTCATCAGGGTCATGCCTTTGGATGATTATGTCTCCTCTGAATTTGTTCTTTTCTCTGTCTGCTTTCTGGCTGCCAGGAGGTGAGTAACTGTTGTTCTCTGTCATTCCCTTCCACCATGATATTTCTGTCTTGGAGCCAGCCCAAAAAACCTGAATTTAAGAAACTTTCAGACCAATTAAACCTCTTCTTTAAGTTGTGGGTATTGAATATTTTGTCCCAGAAAAGAAAAAGCCATACTGCATACTATATATTAGTTATTTATAGTATTTGCTTACTTTTATGTTATAAAATTAAATTCCCTTTTGACTATCAGGATCAACTGTATTTTAAATGGTGTTAGTTCTTTAAAGGAGTAAGTATTAGTAATTGAGGGATGGGGGTTTGTAGTTCAGTGGTAGAACACTTGCCTAGCATATACAAAACCCTGGATTAAATCCGAAGTAGCACAATTATATAAATAAATAAAATACAGTAAAAGAGAAAGTTTTAGGAAGCAAACATAAGGGAGCATATTGATGGATGTTTCCCATCATTTTTTTCTTTTTTCTTTTGTTGTATATCTGTATAAAAATTCATGGTATAGTTTTAAAATTACTGTTAAGTGAATCCTACCATGCATTCTCTTACATGCTCTGAGGTTGTAGGACATTTTCAATATATTTTACAAAGCTTTTCAGTATATTATACAAAACTTTTCAAAATAATATACAAGACTTTTCAATATATTATACAAAATGTTTCAAAAGTTTGATTTTAGTCATTCAATAGATCTTGAAGTTCAGAGTGAATTTCTTATTTATCTTTTTACCTACTGAAACAACACACATATTTTATCCATTTGTAACATGTATAATATAAGTGTATTTCTACTTTTGTCTATATGCTTCTGTAATTTCCAATTAATAAATATATCATACATTCACATTCATATTAGCAGCTTATTACTTGTCAATGCATTTGAATTTTAACAATTGAATTTAGCTAGTCTTTATATTTTTAAAAAATTATTTCACATGTGATGAGAATTTAAACTCTTACACTGAAGGCCTCTTTCCTAATTGTGATGGAATTTATTTATCCTTGTGGGTGAATGGAACACTAAATGTTCACACAGTTTATCTCAACTGAAAGATTTTGTCATTGAAAAATTATCCACATATATTTTATCTTGACCAAAGCCAAAGTGATAAATCCATTCCTCCCACAGTAATGCTTGGAACTGCAGTTAACATATTTTTTATTTGGTATTTACTCTTCTTGTTTAATCATAAGCTAAAATTAGTTAGGATGAGAATTCTTTTCACTTTTGGAGGTTTTTGGACTTGAACTTTTAAGCTTTAATATTATGAAAGTAGACCTTGTTAATTCAGCAATTTTATGACAGTTACTGTGTTATCAGGAGAAAAAGCACCATTTTAAGCTTTCACATAGGTACAGATAAAAACAATCTTCTGTAATTTTCATAATGTTCAGTATGTGTTGTGGTGATATTTGTTTTGATTGTTCTATATTTTTTTATATATGATCGTTGAACAAAAAAGACCATGATCACTTTATGCATGAAGGAAATAGAAAAATAACACTGTAAGATAAATTTTGTCCTACTCTATGCCCTTCCTTTTGAGTCTTCTATAAAAAGCATGAATTTTGCTTGATGTTCGAATATGTTGCTAAAAGTTATGAAAACTGAAAATAGAAGTAATTCTTCACATAGCCCTTCTATTGAGGTCTAACAGAGCTAACTCCCTGCTGCTGCCACAGGATATGATGGCTGAGGACCAGGAGAAAACAGCACCCTTGAAGAAGTGTTTGTGCTTTAGGGGTCACCAGCAGAAGTAGTGGTGATGTTTAGAGACACTGCATTGGAAGCAGAAGAGGACTGTGAATCATTGAATGTGAATTAAAAACACCTTTAATTAGATATATCTGCTTTTTCCTTTAACATGGAATCTCTCCTAGAGTAGAGTCCATGTCTGAGTCTATTCAATATTTTTCTTCCAAAACCTGACAGAGTATCTAGCATAAAGTCACAATGAAAGGGAACATTTAGAAAATGCTCTCTACCGATAGGCAAAATTCTCAGAGCTTGAGTTGCACAACTACTTTTTCTTCATAGTACTTGTAAGATGTAGGTTTTCAAGTAGAAAAGAAGTTGATCTTGATCACAAAGTGACATTAGACCTAATCAGTCTGAGTAAAGAAAAACTAATTATTCTAAATGTTTTACCAAATAGCCCAACTGTGTCATTGATGAGATTGGATTTTTTATTGACTCTACATGCAGTTTATCTCTAACAAAGGGCTCCAGCTAAGATGTAAACTCTTCATTGACTAATTTATTTGGTTTTCCCAAATAACTACAGAGGAGTTCCTGGTTATTAAATCATCTACAGTGTAGGAAGTGTTAGTGGATAAGTGGTGTAAAATGTAATAAGTGACCTATCAAAGCACTGAGAAAATATGTATCCCAAACTACCAAATTTGTGCAACAGGAAATTCTTTAAAGGTGACTGCATACAAATATAGGATGGTGATAGAAAATCTAGTCAATGTAATTATGACCACAATAATTAGAAATATAAACTGTAGGGACATTCCACAAACATTTTAATCAAAATTCAAGTCATTCTCCTCAGTTACACATATTGGTATTCATTCAGATTACATACGCTTGAGTTGCTAGTACATTTCTGATTTCATGAGCTTTTTTGGAATCATTTGAAATCAAGTAAAGAACTGTATTGGTTTGGAGAGCTAAAGTGGAGTAAGATATACAGTTTTGAAAGAAAAATCAGGGGTGGAGGGAAACTAAGACCCTAGTTGATGAGACAAAAATAAGTGACGGTAAATCAAGAAACAAAAATGAATGGAAGAGCCGGTTGCAGGAGATCGTTGGAGGATAAAAAATCCACTTTATTTCATTAGACTCCATTCCCTCTCCAAATTAATTATAGTTTGTCAACCTGTCGATTTAGCTGAAAATCACTGATACAGTGAAAATATTAGAGTTAATGTTTATCATTTCCTTTCCAACTCTATTTTTTGTTATGTCTGAGTTTAAACTATTAGCATGGAATTTATATATATTTGAAATGCCTAGAAATCACCCTTTGGCTTTCCTCTGTAAAAAGGTTTATTTATACAAATAAAAACACAGAGAATTACACATGCAATAATTAACAATGAGCCAACAGCTAATTTTCTTTCAAGTAAGTTACGAATATTGCAAAGAGGGAGAACACAATTTCAGAAATTATTAAGCACCTAGGTTTTCTTTGTTTTGGTTTGTGGTTTTTGACAGTACTGGCCATCGAAGCCAGGGTAACATTTATGCTAGGCAAGCACTCTAGCACTGAGGTACATCTACTTTTTACATAAGTAGGTGTGTAAGTTTCTGTGTATGCATGTGAGTGCCAGTGTATTTAAAATCATATAAAAATCCTAAGAGTTTTCCCCATTGGAACTGTCATTTGGACAAGTGTTTACTGAGAGAAGCATTTCATTTAATACAATAAATGAGAAAAATATTATTTGAGGGGAGTTTCTCATGATCTGATGAAGTAGATTTTCAAATTATATTTTGCATAACAATAGTGTAAGAACATATGCATGGTAATTGGCAAAACAACTGCATCTATTACTTTTTTCTTTTAAAATCTAAGCTAGTTGAAAGCTGACATATAGTTTTGAAACAGTCAGTTAAATGCTTTTGATTCATTTGTACCCAATTTTTGAATGAGGCAGTGATGCCCATCTAGTGTCTTCTATACACATATTGTGTATATTAATCTGTACATTCATAAAGATAAAATTGCATGTAAATATTATGGGGTTTTTCATGTATTTATTTGCCATTTGTATTTCTTCATCTGAGAAATGTGTATTCAGATGCCCATTTTTGTATTGTGTTTTTGAATTTTGGGGGCTTGATTATTTTAAAATTCTTTATATGTTCTAGACAGGAGTCCTTTGTCTGATGGACAGTTGGCTAAAATATTTTTCCCAATTCACAGGTTTTCTTTTCACTTCGTTGCTGATTTCTTTTGATGTGCAAAAACTTTTCAATAAGATGAAATCTAAGATGTTGATTCTTTGAAGTATTTCCCTTGCAGTTTGGTTTTAGCAACTTTGTTGAAGATAACAGTATGTCATGTAGTAACCGTTGTTAATTCCAATCATTTTTTCTTTGAGGTCATGTATTGTTTTTGTGTTGTTTTGTTTTTGTCTTCACTGGTGTTGTTTTGTTAATTTTTTTTCTCTTTAAAATAAAAAAAAATTAAAGAAATATTATGGATTGTCCCAAAGGGAACAGTTAACTGATGCCAGATTGATAAGAAATAGAAACTGTGCTCTTCCATTAGGGTCAAGATTTATTTGTGTTCCATTTTCATCTATATTCTCAAATCTTTATTAATAACAACAGCTTCAGTCAGAACCACACAGATGCCTGTTATGTATTTTTCTCATTTTGGTGGGCATTCTACCCTTCGAAGCAATGAGATTGGTAATGACTCAAATTTTCACTTTTAAGCCTTACACTAATTAAAGTTGTACCGCCCACAATTTAAAGCTTATGTAAGTGAAATGCAGAAAACACTTTAAGAACCATTAATCTATAAACTTCCTTTTGCTTATAAACTTCACATTATTTATTTTATTATGAAGTACTGAGGATCTTTAAAACTAATATATAAAAGTATTTAGTTCAATTTTTATATTGTTACATATAATAAATATAAATAGACGTTGGATTACACTTATATTTAATATGAGAAAATACATTTGATTAAACAGAGAGCTGATAGAAATGTGTACAGTGCAAGATAACACTTCATGAACCATCACAAAAGAATTTAAGAGAAAATATAAGTTACTGGAATTTAAGTACGAGTACTCTTTGGTAGAGGCATATGTTCTACTTTTACAAATAAAATAATGTTTCAAATATTGTTAAATTGTTTTCAAATTTGAGTGAATCAATCAAAATTTCTCAAATTCAAATTATTTTTCCCTAATTGTGTCTTTCACTTTTCTAAATGTCATATTTTTTGAAGAAGAACAGGGGAAAGGTTTTATATTGCCACATGTCAAAGTATCTGGCAAAGTAACATACATACAAAAGTAACATTTTACGAGAGCCAGAATATTACCAGAAGACCAAATTACTTCAACATTCATTTACGTTGGAAATTGATAAGGAGAATATAATTTTAGATGGGGCTTCATCTCAAATAGAAATTCACAAAGAGTTCATGCTGTGATCCCAAATTAGCCTACTGCTGGACAAATATAGACAAATCCAGATAACTGTACTGAGTCAACTGGTAGGGAAACAATATTGTAAAAACACACTCATTCATGGTTTATCCCAGAGCTTTATAGGTTCACAGGATTCTAGTCTAATTTTATGAGTTTCATTCACATAGTTATAGAGAGTATCTGAAAGCACAACAGGGCTGTGCTTTCCTCCCACAGGTAAGATTTGAGGTTAGATAAACTAGCTTCTTTACAAACTCCTAGTTCTTCTGTTAGTATAACTGTTAAGAGTTTTACACTCAGGAAAACTCTGAAGGAAGGCATGTAAATTTTTCCTCCAAGTATAGAAAATATTTTGTATTGATACATTTATTAATAGCAATAACAAAAATAGAATTTAAAGTGTATTAAATTTGAGAAAATTCTTGCACATTTTTGATAAGTTTTATCACTGTTTTTCAGAAACATTTGATAATTTAAGAGTTAGCTCTTCTCTCATTAACACATAGAGATAAAATTTTTGGACAACTACAAGTGGCGTGCAAAATTACAGCAGCTATAGAAACATAAATAATTGTTTTGTTTGCTTGATAACCAGTGATTTATAATATAATGTATACAAAAGCAAAATTTGAATTTTGCCTCATTACTACCAGATTATTGGATTTTAATGGACTTAATAAACCTTCTTAAATCCTGTGTTTCTAATTTTCAAAACGAGCATTTAAAGACCTATTACTTATGTCTAAAAGATAAGGTTGTTTTAATGATCACATAAGACAGTCCAGGAGAAATATGTCCAGCCCCAGAATTAGTGATCATTCAAAGTAACATCAACAATATTTCCCTGCACTGCTCGCTCTCTGTTACCGCTTTCCTTTCAGGCAGCAGTGTACTCTACTTGACCACTTGGGTGATAAGGGAGTAGAGTTGAGAGTGTTGGTTCCCAGGAAGTGAAATAGCTTACACGATAATAGGAAACATTAACATATATAAATTGAAAGTAATTGAAATGGAGTTAGTTACAGCTTTCATCTTGAGAAAGATCACATAACATAATTACATATCCATTACAACTACCTTAGCAATCAACAGAAAAAGTTATTCCACACAGATTAGTTTGTACCTACCAACTCCAGACATTTCAGGAACACTGGCAGTGTACACGTCTTTTGTGAATTTTGGCTCATTGTCATTGATATCATGGATTTTAATGATAAATTCCGATTCTGGCTCCACCTGCCGCCCGGTCTTTCTGTCTATAGCCTTGGCTCGAAGAATGTACAAGGATTTTTCTTCTCTGTCTAATTTCTTTGCAGCATGAATGTCTCCTGTCTTTTCATCTATAACGAACAGACTGCCGGCCCCATCTCCTGTTAATATGTACTTTAAATTTCCATCTCCTTTGTCTTGGTCAGTGTGAAGCTTTAAAGAGGTAGAAAAGAAGAGCTCTGTAAATATATACACTATTATTACAGTAAAAGTAAATTTGGCACAAATAAATTTGTCTCCACATAACATTACTGCAATAATTTTAATGAACATCTTCATTCTCACTGGGGGAAACCTAAACCTTTCAGTTTGGGTTATAGTAAACCTTTTTAAACAATTGCATTTAGATATCATACTCAGCTTGGTAAAATGAAATGAAAATAAATATATCTCTTTCAAAACTCAGTGTTTCAAAGGTATTACAATTTGAATATTACCAAGATTGAAACCTCTATTGCACTGAAAAGAAAGAAACCCATTAACCTAGATCTTGTGTGCAGAATATTAATGAATTTTAATTACATATAAAATAACTAAACTCAAAGTTATGATATAATAAATTTTTGAACATATTGTAATGATAAATTTAAGATGACTTCTGTACTTTGAAAGTCAGTTTTATCAGGTTTGTATTAACATTATATAAGTTATGTTTCTGTACTCAGAAAGACCAACCAGTGATTGAATTTTGAACTCTTGGATAGTTTTCTGTATGACTATGAGTGAGCACACATTTTGCCTTTGGGGAAAATGTTTCATTTTCTGGACATGTTAAATTCCAGGTGACACAAAACATAAGCTTTTCTCTGTCTTTATAAATCATGTCTTAAAAACATGACAATTTTTTATGAATTTCACTTTTTTGGTGAAACTGCTCCGTAAAAATTATCTTAGTATTAAACTTCATCAAATGCTATTTAAAAGAAATAAATCATGTATTCACAGAAAATTTGAAGTGGAAAAACTGTAATATTTTTGAAATCCTGACACTATTATAAAATTAAAGATTTAAAATATCAATTAATAATTATACATATGAGTATGGGATACAATATAACATTTATATATGTTCACACTGTAAAATGACTAAACCATTTAAAAATGATTACATTCTAATAATAAACAAATCTTTCATTTCACATACTTATCAACTTCTGTGGGGAAAATACACACAGAGAAAAGGATACATGAGAGAAAGTGTGAAGCTGACCAAATGCCCACACTTTCTTTTACCAAGCAGAATAACATTCGCTGACATAGTTTACACACTTGAAGCTAAAAAACAATGTCTTTGCTGATTTTAAAATTGCTAAAGGTATTTATTTCAAATAAATCTGGAACTTTAAGCATCCCACCCCTCCTATGTTATTTTATATCAGATAATTCACTACTCATATCACATCCTGAGCTCATCACTTTCTTCTGTATTCCATTCCATTTTTGGCTTAGCTATGGTGAAATCTTCTCACATGATAACCAAAATGAGGTACTTGTTTCATAATATACACTTACTTCGCTTTTAAGTCCATGTAAATAATCACATAATCTTTCCTTCTTAGGAATCTGTTCGGCACCTGTCTGTCTCTTTGGATCCTCTTGATCCTTTTTCTTCCGTATGTTTTACTTGGGCCTCTCCATCAAATTCCTGATGCCTTAACCTCTATAGTAGCTCAGCTCCAAACAGTTTCCTGTACTAAAGATGGTGACTTTTCTACATAACAAATATGGTCACATAACTATCCAGTTTAAAAATCTTCAAAAAGGCACAGTGTTTAGAGTCCTACAAAGCAAGGTCAGTCGTCTGTAAATTGCCCCTGCTGCACTGCACACAATCTTTTCCTTTTTTGTTTGTTTTCATTAAGCCAAGCCTCTTCTTTTTAAAAAGATAATACTAAGTTTGAAAACTATGTGTACTTTTTTGTTGCTGTAATTGCTTTCAGTTCATGTCTTTGTTTATCTATCCTTGATAAGCTGCCCATTTTTCCCTGGAGGCATCTCTGCTGGTTTTCCAGTGCTTCTCTACACATTTTATCCTTACTGATTCTTTCATTTTACACTTTCTTACTTCAATTCTTAGACAGCTTCTACCCACTTTCGTTCCTGATGTTTACATTTGTTTCTCTCACCTTTTAATACCCACTTTTCTTTCCTATTTTCCCTTCTCTAAATATTTGTCATGTCTCACTTTTCCATTTCCTACATAGGGATAGCTTCTTTTGCTCACCGGGTTAGGATGGACGAGCTTGCATGGTAATCACACACCTCACCGGTGTGCTTACCAGGATCCTCACCAGATTTTGTGGAATAGTTAACTGTTCTTTCTAAACTATAAAATGCACCAGGGAAAGATCGATATAAGTTTGAAAGCACTCAAGATATATTTCTTAAAAGCCAAATAATTTCTCTTTGATGAATATCTTTCCAAATAAATACATAAGAATTATCCATGATTGATTATTAAAATATTAGATGATATATAAAATTAAACTTTTCTTTTTAATTTGTTATATCAGAAATTGCTGTTGTTTTATGTCAAAATGTTATTTTGATGACTACACTGATTTCAAAGTATATATAATAAATTCTTTTACATATATTTTTATATTGCCTTTATAGTATAAGAGGAGAGAAGGAAATAAAAACACTTAATAAAGGGAACATAAGAAAAGATGATAGATAAGTAGATAATTATATGTATGCCTGGTGTGATAGCACTTGGGAGGCTGAGGCAGGATGATCGTTGTAAGTTCAAAATCAGTCTGGGCTACAAAGTGACCTCAAGGCCAGCCTGAACTTCATAGCGAGTCCCTATCTCAAAAAGACAAAAAAAAAAGTTTATGAATCTCTGTTTCTTTGAAGAATATTGTAGAATCAACTAAAAAGTTTGCCTTATTACATTTCATTAGGCTCAGTAATGTGCACTGAAAGTATCTACAGTTATTAACATTATAATATATTAGAATTAAATACATATGCTGTTTGAAAGTATATAACCTTACTTTATAAACAAAATACTACAAAAAACTCTCACTGAAACATTTATGTTACAATAATTTAGATTTATTATTGTACACCTCATTGTAAAAAAACATTTATGGTAAAATACTGAATAGATATATCTTATATTTATCTTTAACACATTTGGAATTTATAAAATTCAAGATATTTATATGATCAATTAAATAAATGAAGGTGAAATTTTGGGTCTTCATGAGCCATCGAAATTTCCTGGTAAGGAAATAACTTGTTTCTACTTTAAATATGAAAAAAATTCCTAGAAAGCATAATAAAGCATAATAAAGCTTAGAAAATGTTTTGAAATGCTATTATGCTTAATGAGTATGATTTTAGATTTTCCTCCTTATAAGCTTTGCATTCCAGAAATTTGGAAAATTAAATGAGTACAAACAGAATATGCTTAAAAGTTTCATTACATATCTGATATTGAAGAGTTAACTTGATTGGCCCATATGCTTTCAGATATTTGGTTAAATATTACTCTGGGTGTGTTTTTGAAGGTGTTTTTGAATAAGAAAAATATTAGTACACTGAGAAAAATAAACTGCTCTTCTTGACCTGAATGGGCCTCGTCTAATTCTCTGATGGTAGAATATTCTTTTAAGGTGTTAATATTTTTTAAAGGTTTTTAGGTTTTGTAGGTAACTATTCTCCTTTTGTAAAGCAGTTCTTGGCCTGCTATTGAGCTTTAGAGATGGAATGCTTAAGGATTAACATTTTACTACATGGGCCAAGTTTTCTTCATATTCTGACACGTACTGTATGGTGCATAAAGCCACAAATTTGCCATGCAAAGCAATATCTCAGATCCTGATGAGTAAGTTAGGAGTAAGTACATTGCAGATCCTGCTGAGTAAGTATTAGTAAACTAAATGAAGAAGGAACAAAAATTGCTAATGTTCCCATCCTTATTACACTGCATTCATGCTTTGGTCTATACCATGGCTTCCCTAGAAGTTCCCTATACTGGATTGACCGAGGAAAAAAAGGCCTAGATTTTGTTTACAGTTGGTCTGCACCATATACACCAGCAACTACAAGAAGGCATCTATCACATTACAATTTTTTTTCTGTAATATCTAGGAAAGAAAATATGAACTGAAATCTTGCTAGTGAGCAGAACTTTGAGCAAGGCTTTTTGTGGTTTACTTTCATAGTAAGGTGAGATGTGCAATTTTTTGCCAATTCCTGGGCTGTAATAATGATCAGTGTCTTGAAAGGAATGTGACTGAAAAGTTTCTGACAAAAAATTTTGAGATAGAGAAATGTTGATAGATTTCTGTGAAGAAAAACAAAAAAGATGGAAAGATATTTATTTTTCATGTGAATGGTCACCAGCGACTTTCGCAAGTGATAATTTTAATGATCAAATGGACTGAATGAACTACAGTATGAGTTCTGCTCAGTCTCTCACCCCAGTACGTTCCACCATCTCCTACGGGGATCATGATTAAAGGGATAATTTTGGTAGGGAAAGAGGATCTATCTAGGCTCAGTAGCACAGACTTCCATTCCCTTATCCTGACTGGCTACAGTCACTGTTGAAATATCCAATCTGGCAGCAAAAGAAACCAACGTTAAGCTCTTGTATGACATCACCCCGTGGGTGATTAGTCAGTGACCTAAGAGGAAATTGAATGTAGTATACTGCCCATATCATACAAAAGGCAAGGTATTGCCCTAACAGGAATAAGCACTTTGGATACAAATTTGCCTTCCCCAAACACAACGGTAAGATTAAAAAATTTGTATTTGAACTTCCTCTGCACAATTTCCTTCTGAGCAATGAACTCACTACTCAACAGCAAAATTAATGCAATGTTCCCATGCTCATAAAATTCACGGATCTTGCCATGTTCTCCACCTGAATAGCCCAGATCTTTCAGAAATAAAGATTTAATCAGGTAAACAGCCATGATTCACTTAAGTTTTTGTGTAGTGAAAGGAAAATATGGAAGGGTAATGGAGGAAAGTTTTTATAAAAGTTATCTGTGATAATATGAACACTTACAGAAATAGGAACAGAATTTCCATGACTATGTTCTTGTTTTTTTGTCATGAATATGCTTGTGTGAGTTTGTGTATATATTCCACATATCTTCATGTTTTTACTTTTTATTTTGTTAATACAAAAA